AGTCTCGGTCTACCTCGACACCTTTTAATATTAACTTTCGCGCTATATATTTTCTTCACCATTCGGTCTTCACTCATTCGCTCAACGTGCCCAAACCACCGAAGCACGCCCTTATCAATTTTTGTGATAAGGTCATCTATCAAACCTGCCATATTGCGAATCTCTTCGTTTCGCTTTCGATCGGCCATGGTAACGCCGCACATTTTACGAAAAGATCGCATCTCCACTGCATTCAACTTGCTTTTATGCTTCTTCTGGCATACCCAGGTTTCGCTGCCATATAACAAAGTCGGTACCAACACTGCGTTATGTATTGCAAGGCGTGCACTCTTCACTACGCCTTGCCTTTTGACTAACGCAGTCAGGGCACCATTGACTTTGTTCCCGGCAGCGACACGCCTGTCCACATCTAAATCACATCTTCCATCCCGGCTAAAAGCACTCTCCAAGTACACAATTTCATTTACTTGTTCTAGACATTCCTGATTTACCCATATTTCACACTTCGTTCTCTCTTCGTCCCTTTCAAATACCAGAACCTTAGTTTTATTAGCGTTCAAACGGAGACCTTTAATTTCACATTCCTCTTTCATACACGTGACTAATGCCTGCAGTTCTGCCTCTGATAGTGCAATAAGCACTGCATCATCAGCATACAGCAGACAATTTACTTTTATGTCACCCAATTTCACACCCAAACAGCTATCTTTCAGCTTTTGTAAACAGCTGTCGAGATACAGTATGAACAGCCAGGAAGACATGACACAACCCTGTTTTACGCCCGTTTGGACGCTAAACATGGGTGACAGGTCATGCCCTACCCGCACACAGGCTTTACAGTCACAGTAAAGAGACTGCACAGCCCTTAGCAATCGGCCATCCACACCATACCCCGGCAACAGTTCCCACATTTTCTTCCTTACAACCTTATCAAATGCTTTCTCAAGATCCACAAAAGCACAGAAAATCTTCTGGTTAGCAGCCAGAAGCTTTTCCGTGATCATGCGGAGAGAAAACATTTGATCCGTGCATCCTCTTCCAGGTCTAAATCCGCATTGTGCCTCCCATAGAAATCTTTCCGATTTCTCTTGCATCCTACGTGTCAAAACCTTCGAGTAAATTTTACTTGCTAAACTGGTCAAGCTGATCGCCCGATAGCACCCGCAGTCAAAATGTGAACCTTTACCTTTATATAAAGGCACAATGACTGCGGATCGCCAATCATCCGGGACATCCCCCGTCCGCCAGCACAAATTGCACAGCAGATGAAAGCTGTCCCAGACGCGAGGCCCACCATACTTGACCATTTCAGCAGTAACTCTGTCTAGTCCCGCAGCCTTACCACATTTCAAACTTCGAATCGCACGTTCAATCTCTTTCATACTGAAGACCTCAGTGTCATCGAGGTCCGGGTCTGGCGTACCAGTCACGGCGTCATCCCCGGATCCCTCACTAAGATCATCACAGGCATACATTTCTCTATAAAATTCGCTCCATCGCTGCATGACGTCCGATTTTTCTGAGAGGACGTCATTAGTTCTCGAAAGCACTTTGTTCATTCTTAAGGCCGTCGCACCACTTCGGGTCCTTCCAACCTCTTTCCAGAAGAGTTTGGAGTTCTCCTTAAAGTTGTGCGACAACCTTTCATCCGCTTCCATTCTACACCTTTCACGCACTTCCTCAATCAATGCTTTCGTGTGAACTTTCTGCAGCCTATATCTTTCTTTCATCTTCTCTCCCATATCCTTATCATTACTAGAGGCCAAGTAGTCTAACCATGCTTTCTTCTTCTTCTTTACAGCTTCTTTCACTTCATCATTCCACCATGCATCTCTTCTTTTACTACTGCCTCTTTTTATTGTTCCACACGCTTCTTCCGCTGCACTTACCATTCCATCCCTAAGGTTCTGCCATGTTCTTTCTACACATTCGTTTCTGCCATCGATGGTGTCAAGCTTTTCGGCTACCCTCGCATGATATTTGTCCCTAGTATCCGCTTCCTGAAGCTTCCAGCTTCGGATGCGACAGACCGACTGTGGTTCTGTCACTGTCGTCCGGTAGCGCCAACCCGCGAACAGACCCCTAAATCTAGTAATCACTAGATAGTGATCCGTTCCCAGGTCAGCACCCCTGAACACTCGCGTATCCATAACCTGTTTTCGCAGTCGATCATCCACCAGGAACAAATCAATCATACTTCTCTCATTCTTTCTTTCTCTAGTATACATATGGATTTTCTTGTGATTAAACATAGTGTTTGTCACAAGAAGACCCTTTTCCTTGCATACCGCCAGTATAAGCTTGCCAGCATCATTAACCCTTTTATCGCCAAACTTTCCAAGTACCGACTCGTACCCTGGTCGAGCGGTACCAACCCATCCATTCAAATCACCACATACAACAATTCTTTCGTTTCCCCTAGCCAAATCTAGAACTTCTCTTACATTATCCCAAAACTCCTCCAGCTCAGCCCTGGACGACGAAGCTACCGGCGCATAAACAGCCAAAAGGAATAACTTCGTCAGTTCCAATTTAAAGCGAACCCAGAGAAGTCTTGAGTTCACAAACTTATATTCAGTCATAACATCGACCAACCGAGAAGACAGCAGCACCCCCACTCCCTGGCAGGCGTTCTCGCTCTCCGGGACCCCGGACCATAGAGCAAACGCCCCGCCAGGGAGCTCTTCAGTACCACTGCCCTTCCGTTTGGTCTCCGACATACACACGACATCTAATTCTCTTTCTTTCATTATTTCGATCAACTCATTCGTCTTATCTCTCATGCCTCCTCTAACATTCCACGTGCCAACTCTGCACTCTGTTCTCCACCTTCCGCCGTGTCGGGCTGTGCGTGACGGGTGGCGGTCCCCATCGCCACTTTGCGCGCTGCATTCCACACCAACGGGGACGAGCTGGTGTGCGTCGCCTTGGGGGGACGCCCTAACCCTCGTTGACATGGGTGCGCAGCTAAGTAGAATTGCAGCCCTGAAAAGGGCTGGCAGGGGTCGCGACGAGCACGCTTCTACAATGACCCCCATAGAGCGCTTTGACTCCTTAATAAAACATCAGAGTGAGTGTCAGCGCTCCATACCAGGTTCATCGGGGACAATATGTGTAAATAACAAAGTAAACAGTAAGGACTCTGTTCAACGCTTTAATATGTTATAATATTTTTGATACTAGATGGCATTGTTAAACAATTTACTTATACAAAATTATATTACTACAGTTACATATAAATGACATATAAGAGTTTTATTAATACAATGTTTTGACATTAGATGGTACTGCTAAAAAATTGTTGCATTCCTAAATCTCGATATCATTTGCCCTTTGCAAATAGTATAGCTAAGATGCATGATATCGTAATAAAGAACTTGTATCAAGCACTCGGTAGTTTTATTATAACCCGTAGTAGTCAATTCGATATCTGGTTTGGTCATTGTACATGGTCCTAATCGAGTCGGAAGTGTTTTTGAAAAATTCGCACTAGAAACCAGTGGTGGATCGCCACTGAAGGTGCGCACCGGACGATTCTAGTGAATCGTACCGGTTGATTGAGTGCAGTGCGGTGTTATGCGTTTGGAGTGTGCCGGCCGCATTCAGTCGAGGAGTACAAAGAAAGAAGTTGGACGCAGAGCAGCAGCGACGTCATAAACGTGACGTCACATCCGTGACGTGTAAAGCTACGCGTGCGGAAGGAACAATCTGCAGTGGAGCCATCATAACAGTGACGTGAACGACGTCATTGTCCGAGTTGACAGGTTTGCAAGTGAAAATCGTGAGTACATTTTTCTAATTTATCAGTGAAGTTTAAAAAGTTGATAATTTGAAGGATTTCAATAACTTTTCAAACATCAAGAATTTTGTTGAAGACTTAGAATAATTAATGATAAATGTAAACTTTAATAATTTGTTCATGTTAGTTAGTAACTTAGAATAACTATTCAAAAAAGATCAAACGGGGAAACTATGCCCAATTTTATGTAACTTCCTTTATTTTCCTAAACACTTGTAAAATTTTGTGAACAAAAAACGTTGCTTTGGATATTCTACCAAAATGTCGTTGTCAGCCCTAATAAAGAGTCAGCTAGGATATAAGTCTATGATAGAACATGCTTATGAAAACTATAAAAAATCACCAAAGGAACGCTTATGTAAAGAGTCCTATTTACTCACTAGGTTAGATTCATTAGAAGAAAAATGGCAGATATTCGCAGAAACGCATAAAAAAATGTCTATAGAGTTGTCAGAGCAATTAGTAGAATCTAAATACTACAAAGAAAGTGTTTATGAAAGTGTAGAGGAAATGTATTTTGATTATAAGTCTGATATCAGAGAAGCATTATTTGTTCTAAAGACTCAAGCTAGTGTCTCAAGTTCTTGTTCTCATTTAACTTCTAAAGTTGAAAGCAATGTTAAATTACCTAAGATAAACATTCCCACTTTTTCGGGGTCATATGTAGAATGGACAACGTTTAGAGATTTATATGTGTCTTTGATCCATAATAACTCTTCAATAGATGATGTACAAAAGATGCACTATTTGAAAGGGCATCTTTCAGGAGAAGCCGAACAGCTTTTAAGGCATGTACCTATAACATCGGCTAATTACCAAGAATCGTGGTTAACACTTAACAGTCGTTATAATAATAAAAAATACATTGCGAATTGTCTATTGAAGCGTTTTATGAATCAACAAAGCATCGGCAGCGAGTCATGTAATGCAATTAAAAACATGTTAGACGTTACCGATGACACGTTACATGGTTTGAAAAATTTGGGAATAAATGTAGATTCATGGGATACAATTGTTATATACATAATTGGTTTAAAATTGGATTCAGAATCCCGAAAATGTTGGGAATCAAAAATAAGCACTTCAGATGAACTGCCAACGTTGAACCAATTAAGAGAATTTCTAGAAACCCGATTTCGGTCACTTGAGTTCATGGATCCCAAACAAAGAAGCAAACCAAAAACCTAAGGTAATACACTCCATGGCAACCAGCTCTAACGCTGTAGCCAAATTTAACTGTCCTTATTGCAATAATGAGCATAAAATATCAAACTGTAAAGAATTTGCCGCGGTTGATTATAACACTCGGCATAATTTCGTCCAAGATAATGGTCTTTGCTTTAATTGCTTAGGTCGTAATCACTCTGCTAACACGTGCCGTTTATTTACGAGATGTCGCATTTGTAAGCATAAGCACCACTCATTGCTCCACCCAAAACCAATAACAGAAACACAAAAAGCTGTTTTGACCAAGCCAGATTTGTCAGTCGAAGTTAAATCTGTACTGTCAAAGATAAAGACAGCTCAAGAAAAGCCGGAATCGACTACGAACATTACAGCGCATTTTTCTAAGAAGATAGTACCTAATCAAATTCTTCTAGCAACTGCACTTGTTGTAGCAGAGGCAAGAAACGGTTATGCCCACTTGATCAGAGCTCTACTTGATCAGGGTTCGCAAGCGTCGTTTGTTACAGAGTCAACGGTACAACTACTTGGCCTTAGGAAGATACCCAGTAGAAGCAATATATCAGGAGTAGGCTGCGATAAGAGCTCTCTATCTTCTAAGTATATCGTAATGATAAACATTCAGTCCCGTATCGATCCCTGCTTCCAAATACAAGTGCGTGCGCATGTTTTAGGTTCGATAACTAGTCTACTTCCATCGGAGAAGCTAGCTAATGTAGATTGGCCAGAATTGGCTAATATCACTCTTGCCGACCCGCAATTTTACAGCCCAAGTAAAATAGACGTTTTACTTGGTGCAGACGTTTACAGTCCCCGTGTGGAGTTGCCAGAGCTCCCATCGGGCGCGTCCCCAGGTGGCGGATAGGGGAACGCCACTCAGATATGGGTGGTAGCGGGAAACCGTCGCGGACCAAAACTGGCTGGATGAGGGCTTTTTTGCATAGCGGAGGGCCTATTAGTTGCTTCCTGTATCCTCTCCCTTGAGAGGAACAGAGAATGTGACATGCGCGGTGAGGTGCCAGGTGCACTCGGCTTTTGCCGACGCCGGGCAACCCGTAATCGCGGGATTTTCAGGGACCACACCCTGTAAAAAAGGAAACTGAATGGGCTCAGTGTTCCCTAACCCGGTCTCTGGGCAGGCATGAGAAGAACCCGTATCGACTCTGCCACCATTCGAACCTCGGAATCCCTCTGGCGTGTCGTGGATCACGTCTCGCGGCGCCTTAGGGGCCGAGGGCTCTTGGCTTAACCGCCTGGAGTCGCGAGGATGATAACCTCTTTAAAAAATCACCCGAAGCTCAAGCGTGGCACGCCGTGAGGAGCTGCATGGCTGATGGGTAAATGTTCAGTCGTTAGCGTTGCCCCCGTCGGGGTACCGGCCGACACCCTTGACGGGTTACGCATAGGCTTATCCGGGCACAGGAGGCACTGCTCGGATGGACTGTTATTTCCTCCACACTCGTGGGATAAAAAATGGAAAGAGAAAAATATCTAAAAAAATCAGTAGAGGTAGAAAATCAGGCAGGATCTGATACTGGAAGCGGCGGAAATCGATCGCGTGGGACGTCTTCCGCTAGGAAACGTCCAGTGTGCCGATCGTCAGACGAGGAAGGTCTGCCGGCCCCCAAGTTGCCGACTTCGGGGAGGGGTCGGCAGGCATCTAGAGGGGCGAGTGCTTCGCAGCCGCGGAGGGATAAGCACGGACGGTTCGTGTGCTCCAATACCTCGGCGGCTAGTGAAGCATATAGTGACATGGGGTTCACTACGGAGGACCCTGGCGATGGCGGTGAAAGTTGTGCCTCGCTGGGGAGCTCAAAGGCGGAGCTCAATGCCGCCAAGAGGGAGCAGCGCAAAGCCGTCGCGGCCGACGAAGTGTCGGAAATGGCCCGACGTGCTCGCGAGCGACGAGCTGCTCTTGCGGCGGAAGGGGGTGAGCCATCTGCGGTGGCCTTAAGCCAGCTGGCTCTGGATGGGGTGGACTTAGTCCTGAAGGTTGCCACCAAGTCCGGCAGCCTGAAGGGCACGTTCACCCGTGGCTTAAAGGAGGCTGCCGCGGATATCAGGGAGGCGGTTGGCATCCTCCTCAACAGGACGGCCTCTGACGAGGTCGCAAAGTTACAGGAGGAAAACAGCCGCCTCAGAAATGACTTGGAGGACCTCCGGCGGCAAGTTGCTGCGCTAAGCGAGCAGCAGCAGCAACGCACGTCCAGCGATGCCGCACCTGTAGTGGACACGACTCCCGCACTGCGACCGGCAAGCCCTCGTACCGACGAAGAGGTCGAGCGCATTGTCCGGCTCTGCATGCTCCAGTGCGGGAGCATGGTTAACGCTCGGCTGGAGGCAATTTCTCGGCGTCTCCCGGTGGAAATCCTCCGTCCGCCTTTAGCGGCTGACACGCGGAGGACTGAGGAGCCGCCGAGACTTGCGCCTCAAAAGGGGAAGCCCGCGGAGGGTAATAAAAAGCCCGCGGAGGGAGCTCCTCCGAGCAACCAGCCCACGACTGCCGGGTCTAAGGGTGAGACCTGGGCGAAAGTCGTGGGCCGCAAGAAGGCCCGCAAAGCCGCCAAGAAGGCCGCAGCAGCCGCATGTGCCCCAGGGGGAACCACAAAGACGGCTCCTAAACCTGCACAGCGGACTACCAAAGGCGGTCGCAAGAGACCGGCTGTACATGTTCCGCGGTCCAGCGCTGTGACAATAACGTTGCAGCCTGGAGCTGTGGAGTGTGGCGTGACGTACCAGTCGGTCATCGCCGAGGCTAAGGCCAAGATCAAATTATCTGATCTTGGCCTTCAGTCCGTCACCCTCAGGCAGGCTGCCACGGGTGCACGACTGTTCGAGGTGGCTGGCACTGTGAGCGGCAGTGCCGAAAAGGCGGACGCACTGGCCGCCAAGATGAGGGAGGTCCTCAACCCAGAGGACGTCCGGGTCTCCAGGCCAATGAAAACCGCAGAGGTGCGGATTGCTGGCCTTGACGACTCCGTGACCTCAGAGGAGGTGGTGGCGGCCGTTGCCAGAAGCGGAGAGTGTCCGCCGGACAAGGTGCGGGCTGGCGATATACGCACCGACGCCACCGGACTCGGCGCGGTCTGGGTTCGGTGCCCTGTAGCGTCGGCGAAGAAGATCGCCGATAGCGGCAGATTGCTGGTAGGCTGGGTGGCGGCAAGGACCAAGCTCTTACAGCCCCGGGCTTTGCTGTGCTTTCGGTGCCTGGAAAAAGGGCACGTCCGGGCGAAGTGCACCGCCGAGGTTGACCGTAGTGACCTCTGTTATCGCTGCGGCCAGCCTGGCCACAAGGCTGCCCTGTGCTCCGCGGCGCTCAACTGCAGCCTTTGTTCTGCTGCGGGAAGGCCAGCGGAGCACAGAGTAGGCGGAGGGGCTTGTGGGGCGCCTACCAGCAAGAAAAAGAAAAAGGAAAAGAAGAGGAGCACTAAGCCTGCCGGGTTAACCTCCCTGCCCTCGCAGGCTAGCAGCTCCGCGGCCGACTCCCGGCCCAGGACCGTTGCCGAGGGGATGGAATGTCAATAATGGCACAATTCCATTCTCTCCATTTTCTCCAGGGCAACATCAACCACTGTGCCAGAGCTCAGGATCTCCTACTCCAGAGCATGGCAGAGTGGTCGATTGACGTGGCTGTGGTCGCCGAACCGTACTTCATTCCCGCCCGTGACAACTGGTTGGGATGCGCTGACGGTTTGGTGGCCATTATTGGCGAGACTCTGATCGACCCGTCTCGGGGCCGCGGCTGGGTTGCTGCGGTCTCGGGCGGAATCGTTATTGTAGGGGCGTATTTCTCCCCCAACAAGAGTCTCGCCGACTTTGAGGGTTTCCTTGTCGAGTTGGGCGCCGTCGTAGGCCGCTATCACCCTCGTCCCGTTCTGGTGCTCGGGGATCTCAACGCCAAGTCATCGGCGTGGGGATCTCCGGTCACTGACCCTCGGGGCGAGGTGTTAGAAGAGTGGACGGTGACGACTGGTCTGGTCGTCCTGAATCGGGGTTCGGAATACACGTGCGTGCGGCAGCGGGGTGGGTCGATAGTGGACGTCTCGTTTGCTAGCCCCTCTGTCGCCAGCCGAGTCCGCGACTGGCGTGTCGCCGCAGAGGTGGAGACGCTGTCGGACCATCGGTATATCCGGTTCGACGTCTCTGCCCAGACTGCGAGCGGCCGCCATCCAACAACCCCGATTAACGACGGCCCGCGTTGGGCGCTTAAGCGCATCGACAGGGAACTACTCGAAGAAGCTGCCCTAGTCCAGTCCTGGATTCGGGAGTCGACGACGGACGGCCCCGTCGACGTCGAAGCGGTGGCGCTATGGTTTCGCGGGGCGATGACGCAGATCTGCGACGCGTCCATGCCCCGTCTCCACCAACGGTCCGCAAGGCGCCAGGTGTACTGGTGGACCGCCGAGATCGCGCAATTGCGCATAGCGTGCGTTGCGGCTCGTCGCCGGTACACCCGATACCGGAGGCGGCGTCGACGGGATCCCGCCGAGGAGGACGCGCTGTATGAGGTGTACCGCGCGTCTAAGGAGACTCTGTGGCTGGCCATCGGCGACTCAAAGTCGCGTGCCAGGGAAGAGCTGCTGGGATCCCTAGATCGGGATCCGTGGGGGCGCCCCTACCGTTGGGTACGGGGCAAGTTGCGTCCCTGGGCGCCTCCACTAACACAAACGATGCAACCCCAGTTGCTAGAGGCGGTGGTATCGGCTCTCTTCCCTGAGCGAGTGGGACACGTTCCCCCGGCGATGGCTTCGCCCTCAGCCACAGACTCTCCAGAAGAGGAGAGCACCGACGTCCCCGAGGTGACGCAAACAGAGACGAGAGCGGCCGTGTCGCGACTCCGGGCTAAGAACACAGCGCCCGGACCCGACGGAGTTCCTGGTCGAGCTCTCGTCCTGGCTCTGAAGGAGCTAGAGCCCCAGCTGAGAGGGCTCTTCACGGCATGTCTCGAGCAGGGTCAGTTTCCCAGTGTGTGGAAGGAGGGGAGGCTGGTCCTGCTCAGGAAGGAGGGGCGCCCCGCGGACTCACCGTCCGCGTACCGGCCCATAGTGCTGCTCGACGAGGCGGGCAAACTTCTTGAGCGCATCATCGCAGATCGCCTCGTCAGCCACTTGTGCAGAGAGGGGCCGGACCTGGACGAGAACCAGTTTGGTTTTCGTCGCGGGCGCTCCACCATAGACGCTATTACGCGCGTGAGGGCCCTGGCGGAGGAGACAGTATCCCGGGGTGGGGTGGTGCTGGCGGTGTCCTTAGACATCTCCAACGCCTTCAACACCCTACCCTGGAGTTGTATTCGGGAGGCGCTGAATTACCATCGCGTGCCTCCCTACCTCCGCCGCACAATAGGGGCTTACCTTGAGGAGAGATGCGTTACCTATTGGGGACGTGACGGCGCTGGTCGGCGCGTCATGTCGTGCGGTGTTCCGCAGGGATCGGTCTTGGGACCGCTCCTGTGGAACATCGGCTACGACTGGGTGCTGAGAGGTGAACTCCCGTCGGGCGCCGACTTGACGTGTTATGCGGACGACACGCTCGTCACTGCCCGGGGGAGTTCACACAGGGAAGCAGCGTTGGTTGCCACGGCTGCGGTGTCACAAGTGGTGAACCGCATCCGGCGCCTGGGCCTGGAGGTGGCCCTAAATAAGTCGGAGGCCATGGTGTTCCATGGCCCTCGACGCGCGCCGCCGCCGGGTTCACACATCGTGGTCAGCGGGGCCCGGATAGCTGTCGAGTCCACCATGAAGTATCTGGGATTGGTGCTCGACAGCCGATGGGAATTCGGACCCCACTTCCGGCGGCTGGCGCCCAAGCTGATGGGTGCAGCGGGCGCGCTATCAACGTTGCTTCCCAACTTGGGGGGCCCGAGCGCCGCCTGTAGGCGGTTGTACGTGGGAATCGTGCGGTCCATGGCCCTGTATGGGGCCCCTGTGTGGGCGATGGACATGACGGCCAGCACTCTCGCCATTCTGCGTAAACCGCAGAGGGCGATGGCCGTCAGAGTCGCCCGCGGGTATCGCACGATTTCCTACGAGGCGGCTTGCGTCCTGGCCGGATCCCCGCCCTGGGACCTAGAGGCGAAAGTACTCGCGTCATTATATCGATGGCGCGAGGAAGAGCGGGCACGGGGCTCGAGGCCGGTGCAGCGGCAGATCGCGCTGCGCCGAGAGGAGCTCCGTCAGGTCTTGGTGGCGGAATGGCGGCAAAGGCTTCTGCGCCCTACCGCCGGCCTCGCTACCGTCGAGGCGATCCGGTCAGTACTCGACGACTGGCTCGGGAGAAGGCACGGCTCCCTGTCGTTTAGGGTGACGCAGGTGCTGTCGGGGCATGGCTGCTTCGGCAAGTACCTGCGCCGCATAGACAGGGAGCCGGACGCTCGGTGTCACCACTGCATCCATTGCGGGGAGGACACGGCGCAACACACGCTCGCCGAGTGTGTAGCTTGGGAGGAGCAGCGCCGTGTCCTCACAAATAAAGTAGGAGGCGATCTGTCGCTGCCGGCCTTAGTGCAGAAGATGGTCGGTAGCGCAGAGTCGTGGGATGCAGTGGTGTCCTTCTGCGAGGACGTGATGTCGCAGAAGGAAACTGCGGAACGGGAAAGGGAGATCTCGACTCCCTTTCCTGGCCGCAGAAGGCGCACCGGGCGCAGGAGAAGGGCGGACAACGCCCTTTTCCGGCCCCCATAAATGGGTCCAGGGGCGAGGGACTTGGGGAAGCCCCCGCCACCCCTACTCGATGGACCCGAGGCGGAGGCGCGCGCGGGTGTCGGTGCGCGCCCTTGAGGCGATACACGGGGCAGTTTAACACCTCACTACCCCGTGCAGGAGACGAGGCCTGGACGGACCGGGCCAGCACTAGTGTGAGGCTGCGGAAGAATTTGGATTCCCGCGGCCCCACGCGCACGTGTGAGGAGACACCGGGGTGGTTTTAGCCGGTAAGAGTCCGGCACGCCCCTCCGCCTTTCCCCAGGCGGAGGTAGTCCATGAGGATTTCCCCCCGTAAAAAAAAAAAAAAAGACGTTTACAGTCAGGTTATAAGAGAAGGGTTGGTCAAGGGTCCTAACGGCATTCCAACTGCTCAGTGTACTGCCTTAGGATGGATACTATCTGGCCCCACACAGTTACCTGATCATAATCAAACACCTTTATCTCATTGTCACCATAATATTATTAGCATGCACTCTCAAACTGATGACGATGAATTACTAAAGAGATTTTGGCAAATTGAGTCCGATTTCAGTCAAAGCAAGATTCTTAATCAGGAAGAACAGCGATGTGAAGAATATTACAGTAATACCACTCAACGGGATCCAACAGGTCGATACATAGTGAGACTTCCCTTTTGTGAAGACAATCCTCAATGTAAGTATGGGAATTCCAGAGACATTGCAATAAAGCGATTTCATCTTCTTGAAAACCGTTTCAAAAAGAACTCAGAATTCAAGGCAAGATAATCCGAAGTCATACATGAATATTTGAACCTAAGCCACATGCAACTTATAACTGACAGTGACCTTAATAAATCGGAATCAGTGTATTTACCCCATCACGCCGTTATAAGAGAGGATAAAACTACTACAAAGGTTAGAGTAGTGTTTGACGCCTCTTGCAAGGGAACAAACGGAGTATCTCTAAACGATACATTGATGATTGGCCCCACGCTTCAGCAAGACTTACGTCATATTATTATCCGATGGCGTATGCATCCAATATGTCTTAGTGCAGATATTATGAAAATGTATCGCCAAATTATCGTTGCAGATCAAGACACAGACTTCCAAAGGCTAGTTTGGAGAGATGAGCCTGAGTCTGAAATTAAAGAATTCAAATTAGTAAGGGTTACATTTGGCACATCATCGGCTCCCTACCTAGCAGTAAAGACACTACATCAGGTCGCAATTGACGAAGGTAAGGAATTTCCCAATGTAGCTGAAAAGGTAAAAACGGATTTCTACGTGGATGATCTGTTGACTGGATGTCAGACAGTGGAAGAAGGAAAAGGCATTTATGAAGATATGAAAAGGTTACTGAAAAAGGGAGGTTTTGAATTGCAGAAATGGGTAACAAACAACAAAGATTTAGCAGAAGAAATAATGGATGGACACGGAAAGGAGGTAGGAAAGGTTGATATTAAGATCGATAAGGTAGTTAAGGTATTGGGTCTTTTCTGGGATAAAGAAACGGATAATTTTCAATACAGTGTACAACTTCCTGAATTGAATAATCCTATTACCAAGAGGAAGGTAGTATCGAGCATCTCACGTCTGTTCGACCCCTTGGGATGGCTAGCGCCTTGCATCATCACAGCTAAAGTAATGATCCAGAAATTATGGCTGGCAGGAATAGACTGGGATGACGAACTGCTAGATGAGTTACTAAAGGAGTGGAATTTTTACACATCTGAGCTAATAAATATTCGCGAGCTTAGTATTCCAAGGTGGCTCAAGACTAAAGTAGATGATACTTGCATGGAGCTTCAAGGTTTTTGCGACGCATCCAACTCTGCATACGCTGCGGTCGTTTATTTAAGAGCGATTGATGCTAAAGCTAAGATACACGTCAATCTAGTTACGGCAAAGACTAAGGTTGCTCCAACTATGCAAATCTCCATTCCTCGCCTTGAACTTATGGGAGCAGTTCTTTTAGCTAAGTTAATCACAGATGTGGCTAATATTCTGGGAATCGATCATAACAATATACACGGCTGGACCGACTCCACTGTGGTATTGGCGTGGCTCAGCAGTCATCCTAGTCGGTGGACAACGTTTATAGGCAACAGAACGTCAGATGTTCTGTCAAAGCTGGACAATACGCAATGGGCACACGTTCGATCGGCCCAAAATCCAGCAGATCTCGCTTCCAGAGGCTGCACTCCTTTGGAACTTGCTGAAAATAGCTTGTGGCTGCAGGGTCCATCATGGTTAAAAGATGGCAATATTATTTACGAAAGGCCAAAGTCCATCTCGACTACTTTGGAACAAAGAAAATTAAAGGTCCACGCTGTAACTAATAGTCAATTTGCTACTGATTTCGATCTATGGAAAAAATTCTCGTCATTACAAAGGCTTATACGAGTTGTTGCCTTTTGTCGCAGATTTCTAAGGTACAAAAGAAATAGTAGGTTTAAACCTTACCTTACAAGCACCGAGCTGCAGGAATCTTTAGACGTTTGTATAAAACAATGTCAACTCGCAGATTTAAGAGATGCCAAGCAAAAATTGAAACCGTTAAGCCCTTTTCTTGATGATAAGGGAATAATGAGAGTGGGAGGTAGAATTCAGAATGCTAATCTTCCTACAGATACTAAGCATCCTATTATTCTTCCCCATAAGAGCCACTTTACCAATTTAGTTATTGATGAGGCCCACCGAAAGACATTACACGGAGGTCCAACACTCATGCTAAACCATTTGCGCACAAAATATTGGATTATATCGGCTAAGAGCCTAGTTAAAATGCATGTGCGTAATTGTGTAGTGTGTGTGCGCCAAGCGGCAGTAACAAAAAATCAGTTTATGGGTCAGTTACCATTTAGCAGAGTAACACTAGCTAGACCATTCCTTCACAGTGGTGTGGATTTTGCTGGCCCAATTAACGTCCGAATGTCTAAGGGAAGAGGTAATAAATCATACAAGGGTTATATTAGTCTTTTTGTATGTATGGCAACAAAGGCCATACATTTAGAACTAATAAGCGATCTCACTAGTGATGCCTTCATAGCAGGCTTTAAGCGTTTTGTAGCTCGTAGAGGACATGTGAGCGAAATATGGAGCGACAACGGAACAAACTTTGTTGGAGCATCCAAGGAACTCCTTAAGCTCTTCACCGCTGAACAGTCATCAGTCGCTCTTGAAATTCGTGAGTGGTTAAGCAACAATAGTGTTTCATGGCATTTCATTCCTGCTCATGCGCCAAACTTTGGCGGGCTATGGGAAGCAGGCGTGAAAGCTATGAAATTTCATTTAAAACGAGTGATTGGCGTTTCTACAATGACATATGAAGAGTTAACCACCGTTCTCACGCAAATAGAAGCATGTCTAAACTCAAGGCCTTTATCGATATTACCAGATAATCACAGTGATCCCGCACCTCTAACTCCAGGACATTTCCTCGTTGGCGAAGCTCTAGTAATTGTACCAGAACGAAACTATGAACATAGTAACATCAGTACTCTGAGACGCTGGCAACTGACTCAAAGGATGGTGCAGGATTTTTGGCGAAGGTGGTCCAAAGAGTATTTGGTGAATTGTTTACAGAGATATAAATGGTCAAAGATAATACCCGAACCTGAAATTGGAAACATAGTTTTAATTAAAGATGACAATCTTCCTCCAGGCCGTTGGCTGTTAGGAAGAGTGGTTGCCAAGCATCCTGGCTTAGACCAAATCACTCGCGTTGTGACTTTGAAGTGCGGTCAATCTATCTTAAAAAGACCAACTTCAAGGTTATGTATTTTGCCTGTTACACAATAATCATAATTTATCTCGCGGTTGCAATAGCTAGTGCTTAAATTAGATTAAGTATGTTTGTTTGATGCCTAAGAAACATATATTAAGCCTACTGCCCAGTTATGTCATGGTGGGCGGAATGGAAAGAACGTTTAATAACGTTCTTGGTGGGCGGAATGTTCAACGCTTTAATATGTTATAATATTTTTGATACTAGATGGCATTGTTAAACAATTTACTTATACAAAATTATATTACTACAGTTACATATAAATGACATATAAGAGTTTTATTAATACAATGTTTTGACATTAGATGGTACTGCTAAAAAATTGTTGCATTCCTAAATCTCGATATCATTTGCCCTTTGCAAATAGTATAGCTAAGATGCATGATATCGTAATAAAGAACTTGTATCAAGCACTCGGTAGTTTTATTATAACCCGTAGTAGTCAATTCGATATCTGGTTTGGTCATTGTACAGACTCATTATTTTCACCTACACTCTATGACAGTGCCATGACAAAGGATATAAACTTAAAAAGCAATGTAAATATTAAAAAAAATAAAGTTATTATGTATTGTGATGACATAGGCAAAAATTTGGGCATGATGTTAAATAACTGTTTAAAAGGACATATGATCACTAATTATTGCATGCCAGGAGCAACCCTTAGTCATATAATACCTAGTAAATTTTGCCCTAATACCACATTAATAATTCTTGTTGGGGGAAAAAGGCAATGTAAACAAAAATCAATTATTAAATTATATTGGTAATCTAAATACTTTAAATGTACATAAAATTATCTTGTTTACATTGCCTTACATAGAGGGTTGGCCGCAGGAAAATAAAATAAGATATGATTTAAATTTATTAATGAATAACTTTTCATGTAATAATAATTTAAACTTGACATTTAATTGTTATAATTATAATAATAAATTTAATTTAATAGACATAAATAATTTAATTAAGAAATTTTTGACTAGAGATAGGTATTACCTATCTAAATATATTTTAAGACAGATAGCAAATGTGCTATCTTATTGTTTATATATTAACTCAGGCAAGGACTTGGCTACACAGACATCTGCTCCTTTTGAGCAGTATAATGACTTAATATGTAATTTGGAATCAGTTCCAAGTAATTTAAATTAGAAAATGAGACAACAGAGGTAATCTCTAGCAGTTGTAATAATTTAAATAATTTAGAATATAGCTTACAAATCTTTAATTGTATGACTCCACAGAGTAATAATGAAAATTGTTTACACCTGGTGCTTCAAAATATACAAGGCATGATAGGCAAAGAGCTAGAAATTGAGTTGTTCTTAAATAGCAATAATATTCATATTTTATGTATCACTGAACATTGGTTAAAAGCTTATAACTTAATGTTTAACTTCAGTAATCACCAGGTGGTCAGTTCTTTCAATAGAGAAACGGTTTTTTATTGTCATGTAAAGAACGTATAGATATTGTGAGCCTCTCTGTTGAGCGAACTGTAGAAATGGCATGTGTTGAGTTTGAGCACCTCATTGTTGTGAGCGTCTACAGACCCCCATGTTCTATATACGATACTTTTGAAAAAATTATGGAGGAAGTTTTTGCTAAGCTTAATAAACAGAATAAATCTGTTGTAATATGTGGAGACTTTAATATCAATCGCCTAGAAGCTTCCTCAATCAATATTAAATTTAGATCATTGTTTAAATCATATGGTCTTTTTAATTTATTTTTAGAGCCAACGGGTATTGCTCAGTCTAGTGCAACATGTATAGATAACATTTTTACAAATGTGAAGCAGTTGCATAAATTTATAATTCAAAAATTAAGTTCTGATCACAGTGGACAGGTAGTTTCGTTACCTTATGTTCACAAAAAGCAAGTAGATGAGAAAGTTGTGTTTGTTCCAGTAAATTCACGTCGCTTGGAGAAATTTAGAAGTAACATAGTGAAAAAACTTCCATCACTTTCATACCAAAATGATCCAAATTTTTTGTATGGAACATTATTTAAGCTTATTTGCAATGAATTTAATAATACTTTTACTTCTAAAACATTCTCCTTGAACAGTCGGAAGTCATTTAATGAATGGGCGACAGTAGGGGTCCATAAGAGCAGACATAGGTTATATGATCTTTACCATGAAAGGTCATATAATCATAGCGTCGAATTTAGGGAATATGTGAAAAAATATTCAAAAATATTTAAAAGAGTGTGCTCCACAGCCAAGTCTTTGCATTTGAGCAACAAAATTAAGACGGCTTCTAATAAAATTAAAATGACTTGGAGTATAACTAATAGCGAAACTGGTAAGATCAACTCTCGCAATTAAAACTACCAGTTAAATGTTAGTAACAAATTAACCGAATCAGATCAGGACGTTGCAATGGTTTTTGAGAAATATTTTACTGATATTCCGATATTTTTCACTAAGTCACTGAATTCTTCTCCTGCGGTCGCCGAATCATTACTTAAACAAAATGTAAATGCGTGTACAAAGAATTTTGCATTTCATAAAGTATCATCAAAAGATATTGTATAATATTTTAAAACTATTGATGTTAAGAAAACTGCAGATCTGTGGGGGATTTCCGTTAAAGTTATTGCGTCTATAATAGATACAATCGCGCCTCATTTAGCTATTATTTTTAATACTAGTATCGAATCTTGTGTGTTTCCTTATTTAATGAAGTATAGTAAAGTAATACCTTTATTTAAATCTGGTAGTACATTAGACCCCGCCAATTTTAGACCTATTTCTGTACTACCAACACTTAGTAAGATTTTTGAAAAAATTATTCTTGATCAAATGTTAAATTTCTTTAATATAAATAATTTACTTCATAAAAATCAATTTGGTTTCACAAGGGGTCGGTCGACAACTGATGCCGGTGTTGAGCTGATTAAATATATATTTAATGCATGGGAGAATTCACAGGATGCTTTGGGTATATTTTGTGACCTATCCAAAGCCTTCGATTGTGTTCACCATGAAACATTAATCAGGAAACTTCAACACTACAGTGTAAGAAGTGATGCTCTTAAATTAATTATTTCATATTTAAGTAAGAGAACGCAAAAAGTTGTCATTAACAGTATGAGTTCTTCCGGGTCGATGGTACAAATGGGCGTGCCTCAAGGCTCAATTCTCGGCCCCTTTCTGTTTCTTGTATACATTAATGACTTACCTTACATAAGTAGGAGATAACCATGATATAGTATTATTTGCAGATGACACTTCTTTAATTTTCAAATTAAGTCGATAATTGCTAAAATATGACGAAGTAAATAATGCTATATCTAAATTAGTAAATTGGTTCAATGTTAATAATTTGCATTTAAATGGCACTAAAACGAAATGTATGAAATTTATGACTCCAAATGTCAAACAATTAAATACTAATGTAATTTTAAATGGGGAGAAACTGAGTTTTGTACATACCACCATTTTTCTTGGAATCACACTAGACGCGAAGCTTCAATGGAGCCCCCATATATCAAAACAAGCAAGCAGACTTAGTTCTGCAGCATATGCCGTAAAAAAGTCTAATTAGTGTTGAAACAGCTAGACTAGTTTACTTTAGCTATTTCCATAGCATAATGTCGTATGGTATTTTGCTATGGGGACATGCAGCTGACACTGAAATTATATTTGTTTTACAGAAGAGGGCTATAAGAGCAATTTATGATTTAAAGCCTAAAGAGTCACTGCGAGAAAAATTGAAGGAAATTAATATATTAACTTTGGCCTCTCAATACATTTATAAAAATGTAATGTACGTACACAAAAATAAAAGTAGTTTTACAAAAATAAGTGATATTCATTCTGTAAATACTAGGAACAGACACAAGCTAGTAGTACCAGTTACTCGACTCCATCGAGTCAGTAATTCATTCTTGGGGCGATGTATACGCTTTTACAACAAAATTCCAGAAAATATACAAAATTTGACCTGCTTAAAGTTCAAAAACTTTATTAAACTAAGTTTGTATAAAAAGGGTTATTATAATATTAATGAATTTATAAATGATAATAACCCCTGGAAATGAGGTGATCGCTACCAAGCTATTTCTAATTTATTGTGTTGTTAATTTGTGTAACATACATGATTGTAAGCTGTTATTTTTTTTTTAAAAAAGTCCCGCTGGGTTTCTTGTTGGTTCTTCCCAGGACAGAGGTTTTTTTTTCGAACCAGTGGTAATCATACAAAAGAGTGACTTTCAATAAGTATTATTTATAATCTATATTGAATAAAAAATTTTCTGTTTCTGTTTCTATACAAATTCAAGACATTTTATTTTTCAAAGTTTAAATACATTTAATAATTATAATATATATGTGCCATTTTGTTAGATAACTTGTTTCCATCTTGTAGGTAGTGATATAATCCCGTTGCTGTAGAAATATTGGGATGTTTTGATCAAAAAATGCGACAAGTAATCAGTCCTCTCTTGATGTTAACCTAACACTACCCAAAGAATTCTGAAGAGACCGAAACAGGTGAAAATCTGAGAGTGCAAGGTCACTTCCAAACCAAGCTCTCTCAATTTTTACTAAGTGGGCAAAGATGTGTGGCAAAGAGGTCTGGCATTATCATGATGAAAGACCATTCCTTTTCTGTTGATCAATTCCGGCCGTTTTTTCTCAATTTCTTGCTTGAGTCTAATTAGTTGATGGCAGTAGAGAACCGTATCGGTGGTTCTACCCGGCGGTAAAAGCTCATAATAAACGATTCCCTTTCAATCCTGTGAAGCTTGACTACCCTTTGAATATGATCTTTATTTAGGCTAAATATGGTAATTTGAGACGGCACCCAATCACGTTCGACTTAGCGAATCGCCTGATGGTACCAGGTGTCACGCGCGTTGCGGGGAGAGGGCAACGGAATGCAGCTTCCCAGCGTTTGGCGCTGGCGGGCGAGAAGCAGTAGCTCGCGGGCAGCGGTGCAGTCAATTAGCGTATCTCGGTGACCGCTGCAGATGTTTCGCGCGACGGGTTCTTAGGTTATGGTCT